GAGAATTAATTTGGAAGAATTCTGTGCAGTGTTAGTGGAGGCGGAGAATCATATAAATATTAGGCCTCTCTCGTACATGATTGATACACCTGATGCAGATGTATTAACACCTTCTCACCTAATATGTGGAGGGAAAATTGGAAGCTGCCCCTGTCTATAGAAATAATCCGGAGAAAGTGATGAAGATTACAATGATGCAGCAGTGTTGTGTCATAAATTTAAAATGTTAAATAAAGTAATTGATCATTGGTCTAATGTGTGGGGTAAGGAATATCTTCTTACACTATGTGAACACTTTTATGTTGTGACTGAGGCAGTAAATCGACAGAACATTCAACCAGGTGACATTATGTTAATTGATACTGGACAACATCAAATATTGTGGCCTCTGGGTAAAGTATTAACACTGTACCATGAATCTAAGGGAAAGTGACACGAGTGATATTAAAGGTGATGCTGACCAAGTGATGCAGGAAGATGAAATTGTAGTAAGACCTATTAGGAGAACAGCCACTCAAGCTGGGAATCGTCTCCTAAGGAAGGAGTAATTTGAGTCGTTTAGCAACGACCTCCCGCCCGCCGCAGTATGGAAAATAATTTCCCAAAATTTATGCTGTGTAAATAAACCTGATTAATACATAACTATTGTTCTGTTGAGTGCATTTTAAATAAGAGAATCGACAGGGAAGCTCTGCGCCTGCACTGATGAGCAGGGGGGAGAGTCACCATTGTTTTTTTTTTAATGTGATACAAACATGTTAATGTAAGGTGTATAATTTTCGTCACTCTAGGGGTTATATTGGGCTTAAAACCTCTCAAATAGGAGCTGAAATTGTTGGATGTGCATTCCTGCATAACTTGAGCATTAAACAGATATACAGGACAGCTCCATGAACCTCTGATAAACTATCTAAATTATGTTTGTAATTCTGGCCAGTATTATCATCATAAATTTAGTTAGAGGGGGGATTCCGTACATGATACATAGTAATCTCCAGACAAATTGGTGAGTGTTATGATTATAAATTCTCCTTCTGTTATATAAATGTGTATATGTAATCATTTATTAATTTTAATATACAGACCACAAATTTATATTAAATTTACCAGAATTCCTGGTGATGTACTTTTCATTTGCAATTAATATAGGTCTAGAGCAGCTTGTGGAGAGATAGATGGTAGGTATCGAAGGGGTACATTTTTTGCGACCTAGGTGTCCTAAAAATTCCTACTTGTCTCTATAACTTTGATAAATAATAATTATCTTTGTTACCATTTACTTGTATGTATCTAATGAGATTCATCCAGGTAAATGTAATTTTCCACACTGACCTTTGGTTTGAGGAAAAGCTCCGACGAAGAGCAGGGGGGGTTCATGAGGGTGGTCTGCTGGGGGGTGTATTCAGAAAGGTCATAAGTGAAAGGGATCGGAGGGTACTTGAGGGTAGGATTCGTGTGGAGGAGGTCGAAGAGGCGATTTTTAGGATGAGTAAAGGGAAAGCACTAGGCATAGATGTATATCTAATGAATTTTATAGGACGCATTGGGGAAGCATTAAACAATGCTTGGTTAAGGTATTGAATTGCATGCTTATGGAGGGGAAGTTGGATACATCACATAGTACAGGGGTAGTGGTGTTGGTGCCCAAAAAGGGAGGGGGGAGAGGTCTGAGCGCATATAGGGCTATCTCTCTAATGTGTTCAGACTTTAAAATATTCGCAAAGGTCCTAGGTAACAGGATGAGAAAAGTCATGGAATCAGTTATTCATAGGGGACAACTAGGCATATCAGGTAGGAGTATGAGGGAAGGACATGGGCGTATTAGGGGGTTTTGGGGGAAATATCGAGGGGGGTGTCCTCGGGCTTGACTGGCAAAATGCTTACGACTGTGTTGACAGAGATTTATTAAGGCTTATTTATTGAAAGGGAGGGTTTTGGGTGAGGAATAGTACGATGGGTTGACACTTTGTATGCCTCTGCAATGGTAAGAGTACAGGTGAACGGTAAGTTAGGGCAGCCTGTACGCATGGAACGGGGTTTGAGGCAAGGTTGCCTCCTCTCTCAGCTGCTTTTTGCCTGTTTGCAAAATCCATTTTATGAACTGGTGGATGGTGGTTTGGGATGTGGGGTACTGGGTAATAATCATGCAGCGTGCATAGTCGGTTACTTGGATGACACCACGATTTTGTTAAAAGGGGAGGAGGACTTGCAGATCGTAGGCAGGGTTGTTGAGTTTTTTGGGGCAGCAACTGGTATGTGTGTCAAGAGAGCAAAATCAAAATTATTGGAGGTGGGTACGTGGGTGGGGGGGGTTGGGCGAAAGGTATGGGTGGTCAGTTGTGCAGCAACTTAAAATATGTGGGATTGCGTATATGGCGGAAGAGATGGAGGGTCGAAGGGTAAATTCTGAATTGGTGGTAAAAAAGGCTTTAGACTGTCTCAGAGGTTTAAGAGCTGGGATGTCTCCTTGCAACAAAGGGCAGTGGTGGTTAACTCTCTTGTTTACAGCATGGTATGGGGAATGACTGAGGTATACCCATTACGGGACGTGGATACTCAGGAGCTGCAAAGAAGGGTCTTATGGTATGTATGGGGTTATGGGAGAGCTTGGTTGAGTAGGGAGGTTGTCATGACACACATACGTCTTGGGGGTTTAGGTCTCTTGGCATTGGGGCCATGGGCAAAGGCTGTATATGTAAAGCAGTGGTTCCTTAGGGAGGGTGGGGAGAGAGGAGCCCGGGTGGGTTGGGTAATGGTAGATATACGCAAATGGTAGAGTGGCAGAGGATTAATAGAGTGTGAAGACGTGTTGTGTCTGTTGTTGAAGTTGAAAAATGTTCAAAGGATTAGGGCGGGGCAGATGGTGCAGAGATGTTGCCATAGGGAAATTGTGCAGGGAGTGTCTGTTTTTCCACTGTATAATTGGGGGGAAATATGGGACGGTTTTTGTAAGCTTAAGTTAGCACCGAGGGTTTGCGAATTAGTGTACAGATTCATCATGGGTATTTTAGCTTCGAAATCAGTTTTAAGCAGGATGGGGATGGTAAGGGATGCGAATTGTTTAAGTTGTGGTCTGGAAGAAACTGTGTTTCATGCTGTTTATTTTTGTGAAACATTGGAAGAAGTTCGTACATGGTTGGGTAGGGTTTTAAGGTTTCTCAATGGGAGAAGTATCTCAACTCTACGGGCATTAACCTTGGAAGTTAGTGGAGTACCAAGGGAGGTAAGAAGGGCAATACTGTACGTGGTGGCTGACTTCCTATATATCTCATGGGGAATGATGGAAACCAAGGGAGCAGTTAGGGTTAGGGCGATTGAAGCGGGTATTTATAGAACAGCTTGTAGGAACAGACTCCTTTACGGTGGGAGGTGGGGTACCGTCTTCCCTGCAAGCTATAGGAGTCTTACAGTACAGCGGTTGCTGCAACTGAGAGGGGGGGTAAGGCAGCGAGGGGCTGGACTCATCCCATGGTAACACCCTAAGGTATGTTAGGATATTTAGGGTGGAAGCAGGAATTACTGAGTTGCGTGTTTGTAGTTTTGGTAAGTTACGTGTGCTTGAGGGTGTATGGATGTGATGCGATGTGCGACTGAGATCTTGATTTTTTCTACTTTCTGGACATTATGTCTAGCAAGACGGACAAAACGTTTTTGTTTGGTAAATGCTTTTTCCATTTGTGAAACTGGACCAGTTCCCGTCTATGGCCGAGTTTGTATTTTTTTGCTAATGTTTTTTTTGGTGACGTAGCGAAGTCTATGTGGATCTTTCCCAAGTGTTATCGTAGGTATTGTTCATGACATGTAGCACACAATCGTCGTGCTGATGTCAGCATCATTAGTATAGTGTTTTATTTGTCTTTTTAGGGGTTAATTTTAAGCATCCTAATTGGTGTGCAAGAGAAATATTGTTTTTGGGTCTCCTTTTTGTGAAACGACCACCCCATGGGGTTTGTCGTTAATTTTCTGAAGGATGACAAAATGTTTCAACTACTTACGATTTTATCGTGTTAAGTAGTTATCTCTAGACTCCTATTTAAAGTTTTCAATGGATTTGATGATAGGTAACATGTGTATGGTGTGAAGGGGAACAGTATTTCGACAGGGGGGGGTAAGTCGAAGTAATCCCACATTCAACCTTATGGCCCATAAGCATATGGGTGTTAATACTGATTGTACATGGTAGTTAGGAAACTTACAACTGATTCCCTTTTGGTTTAGCGCTTCCTCTTGATTATAATAATAATTACACTTGATTCCATGTCATAAATATGTACCTACTCTTGGACTGTAAACTGAAAACTTTTGTGTTACTCATTAATTATGATTTTCTGTACCTTTTCTTTTGTCACATGAAGTTTTTACATAAAATATATATAAAAAAAAGGAAAAAAAATATACATACAACTGATTGTTATACGATGATTATGATACAGTTGTAGGTAAATTATTTGTATTCTTTTTTTTCAGGGTTTTCCATATATTTGTTTATCATTTATATTATCACTTATGTTATTATTTGCATTTCCAGTAACGTACTGGATAACTAGTTTTGGACATTGCAGTGTTTTGATCAGTTTTAATTTTGGGGTTTTTGAGTTGTATATAAGCGGTGAGTGGTGAAGGTTAGTTCAGGGTATTGGTCTAATACTCTTTTGATGTGAAAGTTTTGATTGTGTTTTTCCTTTATATAACCTGATTGTTAATCGCTGATGTATGTTCTTATTGTATGTAAATTGTATGTATACTGGTTTTTTAAATAAAAAATAAAAAAAATTTCCTCTGGGTCTTGGTTTTGCAATATGTCGGTATTTTGTCCCTCTTATGCCCAGTTGTCTTATGATCAAGTATCTATTAACTGCTAGGTAACAGGGGCAGCAAGTGTTAGGAGACTTTCCAAGTATCTTACATCGTATATGAGCTGAAAACGAGGTAACCACAGCACTACGAGGAACTAACACAAAATATAAGATAAAATGAATCATACATATGATATTACTTACCTAGTACTTTCCATGAAGACAGTCAGAGAGATAACAAAAAATAACTCCAGTACGAGCAGGAAAAGGAAGATGACAGATACGAATGATTTCCATTTGTACCGGAGCCATGCTTTTGTTAAAGAGTGTTGGAGCAGCTGAAGAAGGTTGTGTTCCACCATTAGATTCACAGGATGACACTTCTTCCATTCAAGTCGATCTTGGATAAACTGTACCGCATCTTCACGCAACTTCCCACTTTCTTTATCAAAGGGACTCTGGGCTATTTTGCCTGAGACTGAGAAAAAATTATTTCAGAATATTGTACATTAATAACTATTATTATCAAAATATACTTCATTAGAGAATCATTTAATACTACAATTTTGTCGAATAATTAATCTAATTTTATATATTGTAAGACTATAATTGCGTCACTAATTGACGAATATCAACAAGTTGTATGAGAACATTTTCCTGTTTCAACATCGACACCATGCCCAGCCCTTCTAGCGTAGGGTAGGTGCCTGAGCCAGAGCTTGTAGCTCACAAGACTGTCATTCCCATTAGTCCCCTTGAGGCGGGGATGGCAGACCAGAGAGGCCTAGCTTGTGGCTAGGCCTGGGGACAGTTGGTCCCAAAGATGAGGAGGTACTTGTGCCTCTTCCCATGGGAGACTTAGGTCTCAGGCACTCCCTGAAGAGGGAGCCAAGGCCGGGCCACCACTTGGAAAAGGCCCGGGCCGGGAGAATACCGGCGAATCTTTAATAATAACAATGTTACCCAAGAAGTCAAGTCTAATTTTTTTTGTAGTTGCTACCTGTCTTAATATTGTGGTACCTTAGTTTTATACCTTTAACTTTCTCATATATGCTCTGATGATTCCTAAGTTTTTCTAGCCTAAGCTCAGCCATAGGCCCTTCGTCTGTTTTTTTGCTTGGTCACCAGGCTGTACTGCTGGGGCCCCACTGCCCCCATATCCATCACGCCGGGTTTAAATCGGGCATTGTACTTTCCCACAATCTTGAACCAAGCTTATCGGTGAATGGACCACTTGTATGAGGGTATCCACGGTTTTTTTCCCCCCCTTTTTTGTTTTTTTGATTGACCCAACGAATTTTGAGAGTTTTAAATAGCTGTTGTAAATATGGAAAAAAGTTAGTGATTTGTTCTGTGGCAATAAACCCAACGATATGCGACTCTTCCATTTGGGCGGCGCTTCCCCTGTCTTCCGTTCCCCCCATGTATCTAAAATCTCACCCATTGGTTTCCCCGTTCTTAAGGGTTTGCTCGGTCAGGCCTGTGTTTAAAAACCTACATTAAGTTGACGTGCACTCATTACGGGTTTTCAGGCTATTTTCCCCGGGTGAGCAGATCTGTCCCCCATGACACTTTCAGGCACTTGTTCTATTGGGCGGAATATTGCTGCACACTAACAGCACCTTTCAAGGAGGTGAAATTGCTGACCTGAAATGTACAGAAAACCTTCACGGCGCGCATAAGAGAAAAAACCCTAAATTACGGGGAGCGCTTGGGGTTTCTGAACCTTTTTCCCGGGAAATGCAGGAGGGAAGAAAATGATTAATACCCTGGAAAATCCTGAGGGATAGTACTGAACTTGCACACAAAAATCATCACTACGAAAGAAAAAGATTTGGCAGACGATGCAACATCCCCCAATAAAAGCGGGGTGTCACTCAGTTAAGGACCAACAATAATGCAGGGGCCCGAGACTGTTCAATTTCCTCCACTACATAAGGGGGATTCCCAACAGCCCCCCTGGCTTTTCTAGTGGCATGGACAAGCACCTAAACCCGGGTTTCCTGGCCAGGGGCTGGGGCTCGTACGTTGGTTTGGTCAGCCAGCAGTAACGCCGGGTTTGACGGGCCTGATCCACCGGGTGGCCGGTCACAGACCGGGCCGGGGGGCGTTGACCCCGGAACCCCCTTCGAGGTAAAACCCAGGTACCCCAGGAATAGATGATCAAATTTCTCGATAGTCTTCGAGCATTCTATTTATGTTATTTAAATTTTTTATTTTTTTTATTATTAACAATACCCGTCTCCCATAAAGGCAGGGGGGCCCCGAAATAGAAAAAACTTTAAACATCATTCACTTCCCCACTGTCTTCCCGAGGGGCCTTACACTCTTAAAAAAACTGCCATTAACCCCCTCCTTAAAACTAAGTTTGACCTAAAAGGGTTTCCCTAAAAATTTTTTTTTTTCTAAAAAAAAATTTTTGGAGATCCCCCCTGAAATGGGTTTTTCGCCCCGGGGAACGGGAAAAACACCTGCACATATCCCCCGATGATGAATGGGATCACGTTTGAAAAAAAGTTGAGGGGGGTTGTTGAATTTTTTTGACCCTTAAATCCTTTTCGAAAAGATTAGGGCAGAATAAAGACAAAGGAGAGTTCTTTATCACCCCCCAAAGAAAGATAGGCGAGGGTTTTGGGAATTTGAGCCAGCTATGACAGTTGTTCAGGGAGGAATGTGAAGTTTCAGGGATCCTCGATCAACAGAAGTCCGAAAAAGTAAAAGTATCTCTTTGGGTTTTGGGAAGATTTTGATAAAATGCGGGATTTGATAAACAGGCGTCTAGTAAATTTAAATTTATTTGTGTGTTTTAATAACAAAAAATTAAACCCCAGAATAGTGCGCAGCGTGAAACATGGTCGATAATTTGGGCGGAGGCTACTACTAGGTACACTCACCCCTTTCCCAAGCTATAGCAAAATCATCAACAAAAGTGACGCCAAATAAAAAAGGGCAGAACAGGGGAAAAGGTCATTGATATAAAATGAAAAAGGTTGTTCAAAGAAACTCGGGACATTTTCAGCCTGGCTGGTCATGGGAAAACTATTCCCCGGAACAGAAATGTCTCTCAAAAATATATTTAAGAAAAGCGGCAATTGTTTCGCGGGCGGGACAAAAACCTGGCCAAGAATTTTATCGCTTTTCAAAAAAATTTTTATAAAAAAAAATGTGATAACCAAGTGCTATTAGCAAAGGATTTAAATGGGTACAAAACAAGTAGGGGTCAGTAGGGGATGGGGCCATAGGAATGCCTAATTGAGAGGGAAAGACAATTATGTCTTCAAATACACACTTAACGTCTATTCACCAGGCTTTCCCAGAAATTTGCAAACTGCATGTGGGAGTAATGGGTAATAGTGGGGGATCAGGTCGAAATCCCCGTTTATAAAAGGGCAAAACAAGGGCATTTTTCCATGGGAGGAGGAAGAACCTTTGTGACAAACAAGATCAAAATTTTAAAAATTTCGATATAACTCATTTTTGAATGAATAAGACTGAAATGAGTAAAAACATTATAAGAACTAAGATTTTATGGTGTCTTGAAGTTGGTGAAAAACGTCATTCATCCTGAACAGCAACGAAAAAATAAAAAACGATAGTTTATTCTTTCGTTTTTTTAAAATTTGCTTTTAATGTTTAAAAAATTTTTAACTTCTTTTAATTTTTAACATTATTTCTTAAGATTTTAGATGGTTTAAATATGTTTTACACTTCAAACAGGGGGAAATGTTTGTGAACTGCTCACTTTGATACGGGGTATATATTAAATATATATATTTATATAAATATATATATTATAATATATTTATTAATATATTAAAAATTATATATATATATATATATATTTAAATATATATTGTTATAAAAATTTAGTATATAAATATTATGTATATATTTATTATGAAATATTATGTATAAATATAATTTATAAATATATATATATATATATATATATTTATATTTATATAAATAATATAAATATATATAAATATATATATATATTATATATATTATATTATATAAAAAACTTATATATATATAAAGGTTACCTAGTTTTTTTTTAAATTAAATTAAAAAACTAATACAAAATATAGGGTACAAAAATTAATATGAAAAACAAAACAGGCAGTGAGCAATAATCAACTGGATACACAAACTTAAAAAGAAGCACATATTTTTGATATCAGAACTCTTTACTCAAATCGAACATTGCTTCTAGGGACTGTTTCACATAACATGCTCCTGCTACTGGTTCACATGAACACTGCTTCTACGTACTGTGCTTCACAGAACACTGTTCTACGTTTCTTACATAAACATGTTCTACGTACTGTGTTACATGAACACTGCTTCACGTACTGTGCTTCCATGAAACTGCTTCACGTACTTGTTTACTGAACACTGCTTTACGTACTGCGCTACATGAACTTTTGCTTTACTTTTTTCCATAAACACTGTTCTACGTACTGTGCTTCACATGAAACTGCTTCTACGTACTGTGCTTCAATGAACACTGTTCTACGTACTGTGTTTCCTAAAACTTTGTTTCTACGTACGTGCTTCCATAATTGCTTTACGACTGTGTTTCACATGAACATTGCTTCTACGTATGGCTTCACTGAACATTGCTTTACGTACTGTGCTTACATAACCCTGCTTCTACGACGCGCTTCACATAAAACAGGGGTTTGTAAAAAAAAATATAGATACCTGCTCAAAATCTTAACCCCCCCCCCCCGTGAAAACCTCCCACTTTCAATTAGTATACACAGTGTCAAATCTCTTAACTTTTATAAGAACATTAAAAATTCATGACAAAATTATAAAAAAAACAGCCAGTAAACGGCTGACACATAAATATTCCTGCTCTCTTCAGTACCCCTCTCCTCCATTCCCCTGCCGAACCGCTAGCTTCCTTCCCCCTTTTCTCCTTTTTTTGTGAGCTCTACCTTTCATTCCCCTTCCCAGGTCCTCCCCCGGGGTTCGCCCACCAGACCCCGGGGTCCCCACCCTCTTGGGTTACCCATTTTTTTTTTACCACGGAAAGGAGCTTGTGGTGAGAGGGAGGGAGGGAGAGAGGGATAGTAGAGGGGAAGAAAATGCGGGGAAGGAGGTAGGGAAAATGATGGGAAGGGAGGGAGTTAGGGGGGGCCAAGGGAGGGAAAAAAAGAGAATGGAAGTTGTGGGGAGGAGGGGAGAGAAGGACGAGAGGTGGAGGAGAAGAAAGAAAAGAAAATTAGAAAAGGCAGAGGGAGGGAAAGTGGAAAGGAGGGGAGAGAAAAGGAGAGAGAGAGAGGAGAGGAGAGAAGGGGGAAGGAGAGAGGAGAGAGAGGAGAGAAGCGGGACCGGTTTTCCCAGGGTGGGTAGGGGGGGGAGGTAGGTGGTATGCGGTTGAGGGGAGACGTTACCCCACTCTCTGTCGTGTGTGTTAATTCCCTTTTGCCTAGGCACATGTCATTTAGACACTGGGGCCTGGTGTATGTGTGTATGTGTGTGGGGCCCCCATTCTAAGTTTCATACTGATAAAAAGTCCCATAGAAATACCATAATTCTATGGAAAATT